GACAGGGTCTCCCTGTAGCCCCAGCTGTCCTGGAACTCACTATGTAGAACAGGCTGGCCTTGAATTCACAGAGATCCGCCTGCCTCTACCTCCCAAGTGCTGGGATTAAAGGCGTGCACCACCACGCCTGGCCCAGAGGACAACTTTTGAGCATTCATCCCACGGTGAGTTCTGGGGATTGAAACTGGGCTATCTGACTTGCATGACAAACATTTTTACCCACTGAGCCATCTTGCCAGTCCTAGGCTTCCTAATTTGAATTCCTTGAAAATTCAGCATTTCTAGGAATTAAGTAGAGTATAATCTAATTTCAGTAAATTTTCCCCAGTGCCAGCTATTTTACTGTGGATGAAGGCCGAGGCCTCTGTCCCTGCTGGGCTCCACTTCCTGGCAAATGCGTGTGTGTGAGAACAGACCCTGCCCAAAGTGAGTGGGCAGAGCCTGGGCCTATAGACATTCCACTGCCCCAAATTATTTTCTTTCAACTCTATTTGTACAAGAGTTTGACTTCAGTTCTTCTGTTAAAAACAGTGGTTTGGCATCTTGTGGTGGTGCACACCAGAGGGAAATGTTGAAGAGACAGAGGTAGGAGATTACAAGTTTGAAGCCATCCTGGGCTACACCTTTTCCTTTAAAAAAAAAAAAAAAAAAAAATGAGACAGGCATGGTGCTGCATGCCTTTAATTCCAGCACTTGGGAGGCAAAGGCAGAGGTAGACAGATCTCTGTAAAATGAAGAAAGAAAGAAAAAAAGCACTCAAGCACATAAAATTTTAAATTAAAAAAAATTTTTTATTTACTATATTTTATGTGTATGCATGTATTGCCTGCATGTAAGTGCACCTGTGTCATGCAATGCCTGCAGAGGACAGAAGAAGCCATCAGATCTCCTGGAACCAGAGTTATGGACAGTTGTTAGCTGCCATGTGGGTGCTGGGATTTGAACCCGAGTCTTCTGCAAGACCAGCCAGTGTTCTTAACTGCTGAGCCATCTCTCCAGCCCCCAAATAAAATTTAAAAAATTTGAAGGTGACTTAATACTTTTATTAGAACTAAGATATGGAGTAGCTGTAGACAGCCAGACCTGAATTTATAACTAGTGCTAGCTCTAGCACTAGTTACATGTTTGATTTTAAGCAAGATTTTTCCCTCTTTTAAATAATAAAGTATGAGAGGGTTCTCTTCCACTCTCCTGAATGTGGGAGGCAACTTGACTTCACTGAACTCAATATGGGGATAACAGAATTATTTGGAGCCATACAAAGTTGTCAGTGTTCAGCTGTTTTGTTTTGTTTTGTTTTGTTATGTGTAAGTGTATTGCCTGCATGTATGTAAGTGCACCCATGTCGTGCAATGCCTGTGGAGGTCAGACAAGGACATCAGATCCCCTGGAACTGGAGTTACAGATAGTTGTTAACTGCCATGTGGGTGCTGGGAATCGAACCCAGGTCCTCGGCAAGAGCAGTCAGTGCTCTTAACCGCTAAGCCATCTCTCCAGCCCTTTATAAAAAACTATATCAATTACAGGCTTCCTTTTTTCTGAGCTTCGGTTCTCTGGTTATAAGTCTGCTCTGAGAAAGGTGAAGTAGTCCCTATGAAAGTTCTAGCCAGGTGCATTGGTCATGATGGATACATGATAAATGTTGGATTTCCCTCCACAAGACAGGTGAACTTAAGAGAGGAACCACTCTTACCCAGATTCCTATTCATGTTCCTGAAAGCTCTTTTGGAGAAAAAAAAAAAATCTCCATATTTTTCTTCATTCTTAGCATCATGTTTGTTAGAATAAGAAGAAACCTTTAAAGTAACTTCAGCTCTTCTACTTTAGGGAAGCGACACACCAATCTAAGAACAACCTGTCCCCCAAATCAGAACTCCTGATTTGTGAGTTGGAACTTTTCCTAAAGGAGCAAGTTCCCTATTTGTTTTAAACTCTGCCCAGGGAGCAGGGACAACCATGGAGTATTTACATAGGTGCTGAGGGAATAGTATAGGTCAGTGGTAAAGCACTTGCCTAGCATATGTGAGACCCTAGGTTCTATCCCAACACCAAAATAAATAGTAATAAATAAACATTTATGTATAGTATCCCAGTAGAAAGGGACAGATATATTAAGATTTTTGTTGTTGTTTTGACAGTATCTCATGCAGCCCAAGCAAGCCTTAAACTCTGTGAGCTGAGGATGACCTTTAACTCCTGATCCTCCTGCCTCTTCCTTCCAGGTGCTGAGATTACAGGGGTGCATCACCATGCCAGATTTTATATGGTGCTGAGGATCCAATTTAGGGCTTCATGCACTCTAGGCAAGCACTTTACCAACTGAGCTACATCCCCAGCCCTAATATTTTTAAAAACTATAAGAAGATTTTGCTGTTTTGACATTTGTCAAAATTGTACTCCAAGATTAAAATGCATATCAAAGGGGGAAATATTATAGATACTTAAATAGAAAGTTAGGAGAAGAGAATATAAGGAGTAAAAAGGAAAAGAAATTCTCTTGAAAACCACCTTCCTGTATAAAACTGTTCTAGATGAGTTTAAGATTCAGGCTATTATTCAAAAGCCTTACTAGCTGTATAGCCAGTTCCTTTTTAGAATCGATAGTCTTTAAATATTGAAATGTGGCATTTTCACTTGAGATTGGAGTGACTAAGCAGTTTTGAACACTTCTTCCTAGGTCCTCTGGACCCCTCAGGTGTTGTCCAATGGCGTCCAGTTCTCCCGCATCAGTCCAGATGGTGAGGAAAGCTACCCTGGAGAGTTGAGAGTCTGGGTGACGTACACCCTGCAAGGTGGGGAACTTGTAGTCAACTACAAAGCACAGGCCAGCCAGACCACACCAGTCAATCTGACAAATCACTCTTATTTCAACTTAGCAGGCCAGGTAAGTGAACTTCTCTCCTGCTATAACTGACACACTCGTCTCTAACCAAAGGATATGTGTGGCTGGAGAGACCAGCCCAGTATGGAAACGGACTCATGCTCATGGTGGGACCCAGCAGAATAAGTAGCTTATAGGAGATGCTCTGTAAAACAAAAGTCATAAAGGAAGAGCAGATGGATATACTGTGCTACCAAGAAAAGTAACTATTTCCCACATGAGTCAGACAAGTAACTAGTTATTTCAAGAATTCCCTTTTATCTAATTGCAACATGAGCTTACACTTGCTTCCCTTATTGTACTCCTACTTCCCTCTAAATTACTTCCATTTAAGGTGCCTCCCACCCTTGAATGTTTAGAAACTTGCTCATTTGCCCAGCCCCTTTAGAACCGCCAGTGTGTGTACCCTCTGGCTTTGCAGCCCTCCCACTTCTCCCAAGGCTTCTTGGTAGCCAGTCCTGCCCTACATGGTACAGTGGAGAGGGCTCTGGGCTTGAGTTTAGAAGACCCGGGCTTTTTTTTTTTTTGATTTTTGACAGGGTCTCTCTGTAGCCCCAGGTGTCCTGGAACTCACTATGTAGACCAGGCTGGCCTTGAACTCACAGAGATCCGCCTGCCTCTGCCTCTCTAGTTCTGGGATTAACTGGCTAGAAGACCTGGGCTTTTAGATTATTAGGCATAGTCTCAATTCACAACAATAGTTAATTCTGTTTTTCAGCCACTGTTCAAAGAGCTTTATAAAGTTGTCGGTGACGACACTGAAACCAGCCCAGTAGGAAGACCCATGAAATGTCCACCAGAGGGTTGTACAAAACTGCTGACAGCCCGTCCCTGCTAGCAATCCCCTCTAACCTACCTCAGACCTTCCTAACTGGAGCATTTTATCTTATTGAGGAGGCCACATTGTGAGTCAGTAAAAAGCAGAGCCCAGCTCTACAGATGCTATCTATGACTTCCTCCTTATCAAAAGAGTGTAGCATTGTCTACTCAAATCACTTTGGCTTGATTTCCTACAAGCTGATGATCATGACCAACTGGTACTATCTTCCCTTTTGACCCTTTATTAGGGTTTTACTGCTGATCTGACCATTTTTTTCCTATAATTTTCTGAAGTGGTAGTTAGTTGGTTCTTATGGAATTTCCAAAGTTCAAAACAAGAAGGCTGACTTTTCTACATTTGGTTTTATTCTGTTCTGGTCTGTTTGGTTTGGTTTTGTAGCAGGGTCTCATTCTGTAGCCCAGGCTAGCTACAGCAGCCTACCTGCCTCAGCCTCCCAAATGCAGGGATTCTAGGTGTGAACTACCATGCCCAACTCCAAAATTTAGTGATCAGCGTTTTTGTTCTACTGTGGGGCACAAAGCATTAGTTTATCACCTCTGAGTTTCAGTGTTGAGGTCCTTCAGGGTGGAGGAGAACTATGTTTTTCAAAGATGGAAAAGCTGTGTGGGTTGTGGGTGTCTTTTGCTTTTACCTTTCTTCTACTGTCCTGTGCCCACCACAAAACTCAGAGAACATAGTTTTATTGAAACTTCGCCTAAAGAGTTATGAAAGCATGTCAGGGGAATTTGAGATGGAAAGCAAGAGGCATGGTTCTGGTATGACTAGACAGATACGTCATCAAGGAACCAGCTTCTTCCATTTTTCCATTCTCCTTCCTCGATGTTTGGGTTTTGTTTCAGACTTATCCCCTCATGGTCATAGAATGGTTGCTATAGCTCCAGGAGTCACCTCTAATATATTCGTCTCCAGAAACTGAAAAAAAGGCCTGTTAATTTTTCATGTCTCTAATAATCTTTTTCTAAGAACCAACAGAGCATTGTCCAGAAGCAACCCAGTGGACTTTCACATTTCATTGGCCAAACTGTGACCCATGCCCTACCTACCCAATCAGCACCAAGACTGGAACAGGATGAATGTCTTTGGGAGATGGAGAGGACCCCCTTCCTTGAATATACGACCTAGCCTAGGAAAATCAACAAGTCAGATTTCTACCAGGAGAAAAACACAGGATGGCAGAGGCGTTGCTGTAGCTTTTGGGTAGAAACCTCTCTCCCGTGACCCCCTGCTAGCAGTGTTAAGGGCTAAGTAGGCAGTAGTAAAGGCTATGCACAAAATGGTCTTTAAGCCCTGTGCAAATCATAACGGACTCTGTAAATTTCACAGTTACAAGTAGTGGCCAAGCAAAGTTAACCAGGACAAACACTGAACTCAGAAGCAGACCTCAAGGTATGTGTGTGAATCAGTGTATTGTGCCAAGTTTTCATCGGCCTTAAAAGAAAATGAATCTGGCAGTAATATTCCACTAGCAGAGATCAGGATGCAGAAGAGGCAGCATGCTTGCCTTCAGTGAAGGAATGCTGGGGATGCTCAGTGGCCCAGTGACCATTCAGAGAACAGGTGCCTGAGAAATGCTGGCTTCCCTCTGGGCCTTCCTACTGTCTCAGACGCATCAAAGTATTTGGTGTGTGGTTTTCGTGTTGATTTACTTTCTTCCTGCTTTAGTGTTTAAAAAAATTTTTTTAAGAATAAAAATACATGGGGCTGGAGAGATGGCTCAGTGGTTAAGAACACTGACTGTTCTTGCAGAAGACCTGGATTCAAATCCCAGCACCCACATGGCAGCTAACAACTGTCCATAATTCCAGTTTCAGGGGATCTGACAGCCTCTTCTGTCCTCCTTGGGCATTGCATGACACAGGTGTACTTACCTACATGTAGGCGTAACAACCATACACATAAAATAAAATAAAAATGTTTAAAAAAAGAATAAAAATACATAAGAAGAAAATTCCTAAGCTTCTTTATTCATAATATGGGAATACTGGAAACAGCCCACATGTTTATCAGCAAGAGAGTGAACAAAACAGATGTGACACAGGCATACAATGGATACTACTCCACAATACAAAGGACCACATACGATCCAGGAACACTGACGCTCTCAAGAGCATTATATTGGGAAGTAGATGGGGAGCCAGCGAAGAATGTCTGCTGCAGGATGCCATTTATGTGAAGCTCAAGAACAGAAATAACCTGTAACAGTAGAAACCAGAGCAGTGTTCTCGTTATAATAGGCATTTATCTTTTACAAAAGAACAGAAACAAGTAAGGTATGGTGGCTCGTGCCTTTAATCCTAGCACTGGGGAGGCAAAGGCAAGCATATCTCAGTGAGTTCCAGGCCAGCCTGGTCTACATAGTAAGGCTAACCAAAAGTACAAAGTGAGACGCTGTTTAAAAAATAAGACTGGTAGCAAAGAGGCAGGCACCTGGAGAAGGAGAGTAATGACCTGGACACACACGCCAGACTAGCAATCTAGAAGAGGGACCATCTCCTCCAGACCCCCCTCACTGGATGGCATTAGTGAGCTTGTGCCATTCAAGTCTTCTGTGTGCAGAGGAAAGATGAAGGAGACAATGGGCCTAGCTCTTCTGTTCTGGGGATCTTCAGCTCTCTAGATAGGCTGTTGCTTCCAATCTAGTACCACCAAAGCCTCATACCCAACCTTCCATGCCAGTTCAGCAGCAGAGCCCCTAGCAGTGTAATGAAACCCATTTCTGCTGTGTGTAAACACAAACTCACATGGTCCCTAAATCTTAGCCTTTCTTCTCAGAATGATCTGTTCGATTGTGCTGCCTGAGTCTTTCTGAATATTAAAATCAATACCTAGCCAGCCATTTTTACCTCTCTGGAACCTGGTGGAAGCTTCTGTTTAGCTTTGCTCAGGGTTTCTCAACATGAGCGCTGACATTTTGGCTTGAGACAGTTCTTGTGGGGGCAGGAGGCTGGGAGCGGTCCTGTGCATTTACAATGTTCAGCAGTGTCCCTGTCCCCTTCCCATTTAGAGGCTAGCAGCAGCAGCAGCAGCAGCACCGTCATCAGACATGATCATCAATTATGTTTCCAGCCATTTCAGATGTTCTCTGCAAGGCGAAACCACCCCCAGCTGGAAACTCTTGGTTTAGTTGATTTTTGAGCAGTCATTGGGCAAAAGTCCCCACTTGGCTTTTCTTCCCCATTTTTTGCTGTGAGGTTTTAAATTATTGAAATTAAAAAGAAATCCTCATTAGAAGTATTTATCTATATTTGTAAAAGTATTTTCCAGTTTGCAGACAGCACCCACCCTTACTAAAGGCTGTTCCTCAAAAGGGCCTGGAGAAAGTAGGAATATCTCCTAGTTTTCTACCAAAACAAATGAGATTTCAGAAGCCTTTGTGCCTTCCCTGGGGACACCCTGTGAGAGCCAGAACTAGGTCAACCCTGGGCCTTCTGATTTCTGACCTGGGCTTCCTGGGCCAGCCTCGGATTCTCCCAAAAAGGCAAACCCTCAGAAGCAGGGACTACGTTGTGATTCATGGACTTCCAGGGAGTGTATACTCTGAGTAGAAACTGAGAAGGGTGACAGATACTCCCTTCTGGTACCTGACTGGCCAGGACTGTCTGTGTTATGGGTCAGCCCCCACTCCCCTTTGGTTTGCATGAGGGAGACTTGCATGCTAGGACCACATTTTTCCTTTTTAAATTACAGGTTGTGTGTGTGTGTGTGTGTGTGTGTGTGATAACTTGTGGGAGTTTGTTCTCTCCTTCCACTCTATGGGTCCTGGGGATTGAACTCAGGTTGTCAGACTTGGTGACAAGCACTTTTACCCAATGAGCAATCTTACCAGCCCTAGGATCACATTTGACAACTTCTTCCAAACTTAGCAATGGCTATATGAAGACTCTGTCTACCTACACCCTAATGATCATATTTAATTATCACCATTAGTCAATTGAGATTTCTAAAGACTTTGTTAATACTTGATAGTACTTCTTTACAGTAGAAGCTATAAAGTGAATATGTAAAATAAGACCAAGCCACAAATCTTTTCTTTCTTCTTCTTTTCCTTTCCAGGGCTCCCCAAATATATATGACCATGAAGTCACCATCGAAGCAGATGCATATTTGCCTGTGGATGAAACCCTGATTCCTACAGGTTAGTCAATTTTAACTATTCATTATGCAATTTGGGATCATAGTTTGGTTTCCAAGCCAAAGAAAGGTCATTACTGGGGAAGCAAATGAAGTCCTTGGAAAAGGTAGTGGTTTGTCATTATATTATATTACATTGTATTAATGTCAGTTTTGTAAATTCCATATTTGTACCATGCTAATATTAAGGGAAGTTGTTGAAAAGCATAACACAGGCACACTATTTTTATCACATTTCTGTAAATTTGAAATTATTTCAAAATTTCAAAGTTAAAAATATCAACAGATGATATGATTTCACTTATACTGGACACCTGTCTTATACTAGGAGAAGGCTTTGTTTTGGAGTTTAGCCTCCTTAACACAGGGAATATATGTTGCAAGTTTAAAATTTTTTACAAGAGTGCTAGGCATGGTGGCACACACCTGTAATCCCAGCACTTGGGCGGTGGAGGCAAGATCAGAAGTTCAAGGCCATCTTCAGCTACATAAAGAGATTGAGGGCAGCCTGGGCTATTTGACACCCTGTCTCAAAATAAACAAATAACAAAAGAGGCCAGTGAGATGGCTGGGTAAAGGGATCAGTGGGTAAAGTCACCCGTTGTGCAAGGCTGAATTTGATCCCTGGAACCCACATAAAGGTGGAATGAAAGAACCGACTTCACAAAGTTGTTCTCCGATCTACATGCATGTACCATGGGACTCGTCCATCCACAAATAAAATATTTTTTTTTAATTTTGTAAGGATGGAAGCCTGTGTATCACAGTGAGCAGCAGGAATTAGAAACTTGAATAAATACAGTGACTATAAAGCTGATTGCTGGACGGGCATGGTGGCGTACGCCTTTAATCCCAGCACTCAGGAGGCGGAGACCATAGGATCTCTGTGAGTTCAAGGTCAGCCTGGTCTACATAGTTCCAGGCCAGCTGGGGGCTACAGGGAGACCCTGTCTCAAAAAAGACCAAAAAAAAAACAAACAAACAAAAAAAGCTGATTGCAGACAGACACTGATAGGATTTCCATCATGTAGCACTGTGGAGCCTGTCTGCTTTTCTGAGATACTCAGTAACTTTTCCTTTTTTTTGTTTGATTGTTTTGTTTGGTTAGGGTTTTTGAGACAGGGTCTCCTTGTACCCCAGTTGGCCTAGAACTTGCTACGTAGGCCAGGCTGGCCTGGATCTCACAGAGATACACCTACCTCTGTCTCCCGAGTACTAGGATTAACGGCGTGTGCTGCCACTCCTGGCTTCTTTCTACCTCTTTTTCTTTCAGATACTGGCCAAAGCCTAAAGCTGGGCTCCCTGGCACTCCCGGCTTTCTCAGTCTGTCTCCCAACTTCTGCCTGGGGGTTCCCAGATAGAGGAAATGAGGGTTAAATCAAACCTGGAAGGCCAAATGGAAGTTTGTTAGGAGTGAGAAAGTATTCTGGATAAAGATGAGCAGGACTGAGCAGTACAGGAAGCAGGAGGGTCAGCCCCAGGGAAGTGCTGTGCCCCTAAAGCACCAAGGCTGCACCAGACTCCACATGGCCTGGAGAAGCTGGCTGGATATCTCTCTCTCTCTCTCTCTCTCTCTCTCTCTCTCTCTCTCTCTCTCTTCCTCCTCCTCCTCCTCTCTCCTCTCCCTTCCTTCCTTTCTTCCTTTCTCTTTCTCTCTTTTTATTTATTTATTTTTTTGGTCTTTTTGAAGCAGGGTCTCCCTGTAGCCCCAGCTGTCCTGGAACTCACTATGTAGACCAGGCTGGCCTTGAATTCACAAAGATCCACCTGCCTCTGCCTCCCAAGTGCTGGAATTAAAGGTGTGCGCCACCACGCCCGGCTTCTCTTTTTATTTTATGTGCATAAGTGTCTTGCCTACATGTATATAAGTGTACCACATGCATGCAGTGCCCATGGAGACCAGAAGAGAGTGTTGGATCCCTTGTAAATGGAATTAAAAACAGTTATTAACCAACATATGGTACTGGGAACCAAACCCTGGCCCTCTATGAGAGCAGCCAGTGTTCTAAACAACAGAGCCATCTCTAGAGCCCCCTAGCCTGAAACTTCTAAGTATTCAGCTAGAAGTGTACTGAACCACTTCCCTGAGTCATGTTCTAAGAACCTTTTAGGCTGGCACAATCCATCAAGACTTTAGAAATTGATATGCAGTACTTAAAGAGTGTGCGTTTGTTTGTTTGTTTGTTTGTTTGTTTGTTTGTTCGTCTTTTTGAGACAGGGTCTCCCTGTAGCCCCAGCTGTCCTGGAACTTGCTATGTGGACCAGGCTGGCCTTGAACTCACAGAGATCCACCTGCCTCTGCCTCTGCTGGGATTAAAGGCATGTACCACCACGCCCAGCAAAACTATGGTTTTTTTAAATTCCACCTATGAGATGAGGTGAGAATTTATGATAATTATAGTACTTCAGAGAAAACTTTATAAATCATCCATTGCAGCCACTGTAAGGTAGATTCTGTTAATGTTTTCTTTTTTTTGGTCTTTTTGAGACAGGGTCTCCCTGTAGCCCCAGCTGTCCTGGAACTCACTATGTAGACCAGGCTGGCCTTGAACTCACAGAGATCTGCCTGCCTCTGTCTCCCGGGTGCTGGGATTAAAGGCGTGAGCCACCATGCCCAGTTTGTTTTCTTATTTTTTAAAATATTTCATTTATTATTTTTATTTTGTATTGCCTGCATGTAAGTGTACCTATGTTGTGCGTTGCCTTCACAGGTCAGAAAAAGGTGTCAGATTTCCTGGAACTAGAGTTATGGATGGTTGTCAGCTGCCATGTAGGTGCTGGGAATCGAACCTGGTCCTCTGCAAGAACCATCCCTCCAGCCCTAATGTGTCTTGTTTAGCAGATGTTAACACCGAAGAACAAGAGTTTAAGTAACTTGTTTAGATATGATTTTACTCTGTCACATAAGGTTCATATGCTAGAAGCTTGATCACCGGGTGGCACAGTTTAAGGTGGGGCCTAGCTCAAGGTCATGATGCACTGTCCTAAGAAGGAATTTATGCCAGTGACTGAGTTGTCATGGAAGTGGGCTGTTATAAAGGAGGACTACCTCATGCACCTGATCTCTTCTACATGTGGCCACTTCCCTTCCACTTCTCTACCATGTTGTGATATAGCCAAGGGTTCATCAACAAGGGCCAAACAGATGTGGCCATGTGATCTTGGACTTTCAACATCTGAAGCTGTGAGCTAAATAATCCTCTTTTCTTTGTAAGTGCCACCTTGGGCATTTTGTTATAGCAACATAAAAGCATTAATGTAAATGATTATATAATTAACAAATATGGAAAGCTGGGATTCATACCTAGGTAGTATGGTATTAGAACCAATATTTGAGCTGGGGAGATGACTCAGTGGGTAAAATGCTTGCTTCACAAGCATGATTTTGGATCTCCAGCACCCATCTAAAAGGCAGGTACAGTGGTATATATCTGTAACCCCAGAACTAGGGGGTCAGAGACTAATCAAAACAGTGAGCTCCATGTTCAGGGAGAGACCCTATCTCAAAAAATAAGGTGGGCCGTGGTAATGCATGCCTTTAATCCCAGTACTTGGGAAGCAGAGGCAGGAGGATCTCTGAGATCGAGGCCAGCTTGGTCTACCTGGTGAGTTCCAGGCCAGCTGGGGCTACAGGAAAACCTTGTCTGGAAGATGATGATAGATAGATGATTGATAGATGATAGATAGATGATTGATAGGTAGATGATAGATAGATAGATAGATAGATAGATAGATAGATAGATAGATAGATAGATAGATGATAGATAGAGATATTAATAAGATAGAGGAAGATACCGAACATTAACCTCTGGCCTCCATGTAACTACACATGGGAGAGCACTCCAGCAAGTTCATGCATTCTCTCGCTTTCTCTCCCCCCAACCCCAGGCTTTGTGGTGGTGTAGTAGCACAGTGGTAGAGCACCTTGCCTAGCATGCATAAAGCCCTGGATTCTATTTCCAGCACTGAAAAAAAAAATTAAGCTAGATTCATATTCTATAGATGACAATATGTCAAGATTTGGGAAGGCAGAAAGCTAAGAAAGGTCAGAGGAAAGAAAGAAAAAGTACATTATCTTGTTTTTTGGTCTTTTTGAGACAGAGTCGCCTTGTAGCCCCAGCTGGCCTGGCACTCGCTATATATATAGGCCACGCCTCCAACTCAGAGAGATCCACCTGCCTCTGTCTCCCAAGTGCTGGGGATTAAAAGCGTGCGCCACCATGCCCGGCTCAAAGTACATTAATTTCTTGACTATAATAGTTAGCTAAAATCACCACATAGTCAAGCAAAAAGAAACCAGAAACAAAATTGCATTGTTGTGTTTTGAAATAGTCTCAGTATACAGCCCAGGCTGGCCTTGATCTCACTATGTCTGTTGTGCAGGCTGGTCTGAACTTGCAGTTCTGGTTTTAGCCTCCCAAGTGCTGGGGCTGTAGACACATTCCACCACATCCTGCAAAAACAAGTGCTTGACAGACTTTAGCAGTTCTCATCTTTTGACAATTTCTGTACAGCTAACATAGCTTCTCTCAGTTTGACCCCGTTTTCTTCTCATCAACGTATTTCTACAAAGAGTAGAAAAGGGGGATTTTTAAAGAGGGGAGGAGGAATTCTGTGATTAAAAGCAAGAATGTAAATGCCCAGTCTTGTTAACCTGACAAGGAAGTGAATGTGTAAAGGGAACAGGACAGGCAATTTGAAACTTAAAATCTCTGTGCCCTTCTGCAACCTCGGGGATCATTGTTCCGTTGTAACACACTCTGGATACACAGCCCTTGCCTTGCTGGTTCTTGATTTTTCTCACCTGTCAAACTCATATCAGGTCACATTGAACATTCGCTTTCTTTCTATTTTGTTCATTACTACTGAAGATGATAGGAAAATCACCTTTGAGAGAAAATTCACAGATATAATAAAAGACAATCTCTACCAGTTTCAGGGTAGCTTTCACTTATTAGAGCAGGGCTTCTTGAATTTTTCTACTCCCTACTCCTTACCCAAGAA